TTTATCCCTGCAAATAATTGCACTTAGTGTCCTTTAGTAAGGCTTCTTAGGAAGAGGTAAGATTTGCACATGGTAGAATAGAAAGAAACATCACCATATCTGTAGTTTTGGTTGGGAAATCTGATAACATCAACCGCCTGTAGCAACAGGCTTTGGGCTTGTGTGGAAGGCATCAGTTTTACATCAGTTCAAGATGCTTCTGAGATCATTCAGAAAACATTGACAGTTGCTATTGACCTGCAGTTGACCCTCTTCTGACCCATATTTGATCTGATTTAAGCCAGCTTTGCATTCTCATAGTGCCCTTAGTCAGTCGTATTGCCCAAACCAGCTTTCATTATTTGAAACATTCAGCCATGCATGGCCATATGTTATAGCTGCAAAAAATCAGCACCTTTACCGGTCTTCCAGGCTGTGCAGACATTGTGCAAAGACAAAAGAAATAACTGCTCTTTAACCACATAATCGTTCTATCACAATGCTAACTGGTTTTCCTTTTCTGCTGCTAAGTATCTGAATGGTTGACCATCTGCTGGGGTAGCCCCCATACACAGGTAGGTTTTTGGCAAGTTAAAGTATATCTAAAGCCAAACCCTTTTTTCAGTAGGGGATGGTTAAAACTCCTGTTAACTTTTTTCTTCTATTTGTGCAGTGTACCATTGAGAAGATTTCCCTCTACTTTCTGCCACAAAGATACAACAAAAAGGAGTTAAAATGCAAAATATTGAGATGTACTGTATGTCTTCTGTCTGACTGATGCATATTATGTAATGCTTTCTACCCATTAATGCAGTTGCACCATTGTCCTGCATTTTCTAACATAAGTTTATGACAATGCCAAATTAAATCTTTCACTTGCTCACTGTAAAAAATATGATACAATTTTTTTAAAAAGTGATAAAAATATGTTAATAACCATATGTGTTTTTCTTTTATCCTAATATCAAATTATGTATTTTGTTCAGCAGGTTCAGATGGAGGTACTTGTCTAATAGACCATTAGTGACTCCAGTCGCAGACATGATCAGAAGTAGTATCAATGCCAACTTGCAGAAAGCAAATCCATGTAACCTAAAAGATATAATGAAACCAGGATTAGCCATGTCTGACGCACATTCTTGTATTAAAGCATTAGCTGTAAGTGAAAGCTCACTAGACTGTCAATTACAAAGCCTGTCTTGCCCACAGTCCACCTACCTTCCTGACGTCACTGAAAGTGTAGACCCAGCAATGGCTAAGGAGGTTGGTGTGTGGAAGTAGCCCACCCACACACCTACATTCTTCCTTCTCTTGTTTAAGCCATGGGGGTATGCAAAATCCCTGCCTTTCTGAAGGTGAAGGGTTTGGGGTTGATCTGAAGGTGAAGGGTTTGGGGTGATCTGAGGTCTGCAGGTGCATGAATTTGGGCTGATCGCAGGTCTAAATAGGAATGTTTTGTGTTCATCAGTATTTGATGGAGACTACAGTAGTTTGATTTACCTAAAGTAGTTGGTGCCCCTCAACCCTTCCACAAGGCCATGATGGAGGTATCACTCGCTAACGGATGAACCCCCCAGTTATATGTTTAATTAAATGATGGTGCCACTTTCCCTCCTCCACAATGCAGAATATAGAAAGCCTGTTTTATTGAACTGGAATCTCCGGTTATGAAAGATATAAGAAGCCAGCATGGGACATATCTTTCCAGCAAGAATGTAAAACTAACAGACTAGTTCTGGGTGAAGCTCGTAATAAAGTAGTTTTAAAGTTAAAGATAAGAAATATGCTTATTTAAAATTAAAAAAATATGCTAAACTTCTGATAACTGTAATATTTTCCAGTTGTTTATTTAAGTACTCCTGCACTCAAAGCTGGCAATTTATAGTTGGCTTCTTCTCGGACAATGCACTGATTTTGCAGTCAGACTTTTTTTAAAGTGAGTTCCTGCAAGCATACTGCCATGAAAGAAGAGACAGTTCATTCATTTCTACCCCTCATGGTGTATAATGGAGCTAAAAGGCAACATTTTTCAAATATGTAGATCAAGGTTACTCAAACTTTTTATACAAAGGGCCAGCTCACTGTCCTACAGACTTTGGGGGGGATCAGACTAAGGCCAGTGAGAGTAGAAAATGCCCTGGCGTCAGTGGAAGTAAACAATCCCCTCAGCTCAGTGGTCAGTGGGAATTAAAAATGCCCTAGTGTTAGTGAGTAGTGGGAGTAAAAAAATGGCTTAGCACCTGTGGTTTGTGGGAGGAGGAAAATGCCAGTGGAAGAATAGTGCTCAATGGTTGGTGTAAGCTGTAAGGATAATTTCCTATGTTTGGTGTCAGTGGAAGGAATAGTGCCAGAACTGTCAGTTAAAGGCATGCAAAAGGTCGCAGTTTTGGGACCTCTGTGGTAGATTGAGCAGTGCCACAGAACCTGTGACCCCCAACAAAGCCCCATTTATATTTTTAGAGGTGTTCCATTACATACTAGTGTAAGTAGAATATCACATTTCTCCTGACAGAAGGGAGGAATCTTGGGTAATACATGTGCCACAATGGCAGCTGAATAATAGAGGTATCAAGTGTTCTCTAGGTACCTAGGGAGACTCCTGGGTTCAATACTGCCAGATGTAAGGGAATCATTTTTGAGTCCATGTTTCATTTACAAAGTTCCAGTTGGGTAATCAATTTTGTTTTCTTTAATAACAAGATTCCAGTACAGAATTGTCTACACCTTATTCAGATAGCTCCACTTCCATACAAATATAAAACAAGGGGTTAACTCCTCATGTACTGAAGAAATTAGGATAATCCAGAACTGCTTATATGTAGTACCTATATTGGCTTATATCAAACTTACTTATGGATGCTTTGACCTTGTTAGTACAAGATGTAGAAACTATCTTTTCAACTTAATTAAAATATCAGAATTGTACCTTTATATAAATAATAGCATAATAAAGATGATTTTGTTTTTTTTAAGAACTGGAGGAGAGAAAAATGGAGTTATTGCCTGTAGCAACTTGACTACTAGTTTCACTTTCTGTGAAATGCAGGGTATAGAATTGAAGCTAAAATTAGAATTAGTACTATAAGCACAACTACCAGTTTTCACAAATGAGTTACAGTGTGTTACAATATTTCATACATTCTTGAGGCCAACTTACCTGCCCCTTGCAGACTGTGAGTAGCCAAAAAAGTACACATGCCGGCCATAAATGTATAATAAGCCAAACAGAGATGCCATTTCTGAAATAACAGAAGCATAACAAAGAACCTGTTTTATTAGAAGTCTCCCATTATTATTTATTTTTTTTCAAAACTGTATTTTGCTCAGCAGTAAGAAACAATATGTCCCATGGGCAGTACTTAGCCCACTACCTCCAAAAACAAAGATCTCCCTATTTCCACTCCCTACAGACACACACACGCACACACGCACACACATACACATCATGCCCTTGCTTTGCCTGACGATAGTTCCTCTCCTCCAGTGTCCTTTGACCGTGGACGGCTCCAATTCTGGTCAATTCCTGCTGAATCAGCCAAAATAAAAGGCATGGCTGGCCCTGCAAACACCAGCCCGCTTGACAAATGTTCATTTAAAAATCAAATGTGCTGGGCGGAAAATTATAAGCTGTACAGTGACTGCATCCTATCAGATGCAGTCACTATTTGACAGCGCAACTCTATTTAGTATGGGCTATTAGACCGGTCCCTACCGCTCCCCCTCCGATCCAGTGAGGGACTATCCCTCAGCGTCCTAATGTCCAATACACAGTGTATTGGATGTGATGTTTAACAGGACCGCTGCAGCAGAAGGGGAGCGAGGTTTCAGGTACAAGTCTAACAGCCAGGTGGCTGCAAGGTTCAGGTGAGTTTCTCTTTGTTATTTTCAGAGTCTCTTAAAAGCCCAGCCCAGCCCCACTTATATTCACGTTTGCAGTGCTCCCCCCATTTCTCCATCTCAGTCGTGGCAAAATGCAGTTTCTCCAGGGAAGGGGTAAGCAGGAGACTACCTCCCATAATGCAGTGCTTGGACCTTAGCTGCCAATGGCCAGGCCCAAACAAGATGGAGGGGGTGACAACCAGGCCTGGTGCAAGGATTTATGCCTACACAGTCGAAGGTGGATTTTTCCCATACATCCTTACGCTACATTGCTGGGGTGTAACATGGTCAAATTGCAACGCCCCTTACCTGAATTGCAGGGTTCTTCTCCCCACAGGCTGTTTTTTTTAAGTTGTGCGGCTGTGCGTTGCTCCACCAACATAGCCTGCCATCCATACCGCCTGCCATCTTTTATTTTTAAATGCATGCGTTCGCGGGGGCTGAGGACTTTCATTTTTTTTGGGGGGGGGGGGGGGATTTTTAATTTTAGTTTATTTGACTTTTTATTTTTTTTACTTCTTTTTATTTTTTTGTATTTTCAATTTGAGTTTATTTAACTTTCTTTTTTTTTTACTTTTTTTTTAACTTTATTGCTGGGAGCAATAGTTAGCCTGCTATTGGAGGATATTTCAAATTGCAATAGCCAATAACAGGCTGGTTATTGCACCCACCCACTGCCTGCTGTCAATCAGCAGAGAAGGAACCTGGGAAAATTCTCCATCAGGTCCTCCTCTGCTGATAGATAGCAGGCAGTGTGCGGGTGCAATAGCCAGCCTGTTATTGGCTACTGCAATTTAAAAGAGCCAATAACAGGCAGACTATTGCTGCCACCTGCTGGATTTGAGACGTTCGCGGCTGACAGCAGGAGCGCAGCGCAGGGGGCAGAGGGGGTAGTAGCGTCACAGGGGAAGGAAACAGACACAGTCACAGACTGTCAGCATATTCTCCTTACAGACCGTAATCGGCTACCTGTCCCCTCTGGCAGAGATCGCTGCAGCCGATTACAGCCTGTAAGGAAAAACCACTGACAGTCTGAGTCTGCAGCGGGGAGAACGGGAGGGGTACAGTTATCTGCGGGGATGGTGCTACCTGTTCTTAGCCCCCCCAACAGCGCCCTTAGAGGGCCACTTGTGCTGCCTTGCACTGGCGCCGGCACTGGTGACAACGCCAAACCTGGTCAGCAGAAGAGAGGACATTATAGGAACTAAAGCCAGTTCCTTTTTCTTACTTTGATGTGCTCACAGTCATACTAAACTCTGCTTTGCATTTATCACCATCCTCCATTCTCTTTCCATTTCTTATAATGATATGACATTGAGGTTAATGTGTTCAGAATCAGATACAAATTATGTAAGCGTACACAGAATTTACCTTGATTAAAGAACAAACCCGCAGTCCAAAGGTCAATCAAAAACAGCCCATAGAATTCAATACAGTTTTGTCTGCAAGAAAACATATTGTTACAAATCCATAATTTAATAAAAAATTACTGTTTATTGTCATATACTGTGTTTAGATATACGACATGAAGGGAAACCTAAACTGTAACATTTAGGTAAATGTCTATTAAGAGAATCCTACAATAATTACAGAGTGTAACAAATGCTGCGAACACCAAAAATGCAGTTGGATGTGCTCAGGGATTTTCCAGTTTCTACAGTATAATGAAGGTCATAAACAGGCCAAATGACATAATTTGATTTATTACTCGTACTTTAGAGCACCAACATATTACACAGGCCTTTTACGCAGGTTCCTGCCTACCGGACACGGCATCATTTTGAAAGAACTCCAGGAATTAACAAAATTAACCCTTACTCTGCTGCATGGGTTAACTGCTTGTTTCGTCTAGGGGATGGATTAAAGAAGATATAGTTACTTGATCCTCATTCCCACCGTGCTGCTAGAAAAGTCCCCGCAGCCTCTTCTCCCCCGGGCTCCGGAGGTCTAAGCCCTGATGACGTCATCACATCTAGTACAGTCCATTCACTTGCATTTGACATTAGAATGCCAAGAGACATTCCACAACCGGGAAAGGGGGAAAGAGACTCTGTCAAGTTTTTATTGCTGTCTGTGTCCATATTGAGGAGACTCGTCTTCTATGTGTTCTGGTGACCATTGTCACCGAGAAAGAAAGTGAGGGGAAAACCAAAATTTTAGAGATGTGTTCAGAACAAGAGGTAAGGTGAAATCTTCCAATGGGGACACCTTCTAAGGGGACAACTGTCTAAAGCTTGCCATACACTGCTGGAATTTGGGCCGAACCCACGTTTTTTTCCAGGGACAACTGTCTAAGAGGAGAATCCCCACATTTCGGAAGATTTACTCTTATTTCCTGTTGCATCTCTAGGACAGGATGTGAAGGGAAATGTTTCCCTATGGTACAAAAAATAATCTGGCAGGGGTTTTAACATTTCCCTACGCTATACAAAACTAAAACAAAAAGGTTAAGGCTGTAGATACAAGGGGGGAATTTATCAAAACTGGAGTAGACAAAATCTAGAGCAGTTGCCCGGTGCAAACCAATCAGCTTCTCTGTTTAGTTTGGCCACTTATCGTACTTGCGATCAGGGGAGGACTTGCAGATGATTGCAATGGTGAGCGGGCAGTGTGCGGCTTTCGTCTTGTGATCGTGCTACCAACCGGGTGGGTTTTCCAGCGTGCTCGTAGTAATGCAGTCGCACACTGCCCATACACCTTACGATTATCGTACAATCGCTGGATCATCCACGATTTTTCGTACGATAATCGTTAGGTGTATGGGCAGCTTTAAGGTGCCCATACACCTTACGATTATCGGATGACACTTTTTCGTCCGATGATCGAACCGTCTTACGATTTTTGTACGACGGCCCCATCCTGCCCCGATTATCGAAAGGATCAATCAGCGGTAGTTTAAAAAAAACACCTGGACGACTTGTGGTAATTGACCGCAATTATTTTCGTTTGCGCATGCGCAGTGTTAATCGTACGACTTACGACGGAAACGCCACCAACCATGCGAACATCGTACGATCGACCAAAGTTTTCAAACATGCTTGACCGTCAAAAGTCGTACGATTGTACAGTACTATCGGCCGGGCACTCTATTCACACGTTACGATTGTCGTACGAAAAGTCGATAGCATACGATTATCGTATGATAATCGTAAGGTGTATGGGCACCTTTACACTGATAAGCCATAACATTATGACCACTGACAGGTGAAGTGAATAACGGATTATCTACAATGGCCCCTGAAAGTGGGAGTGATATATATGGCACCAAGTGAAAATTTTGTTCTTGAAATTGATGTGTTGAAAGCAGAAAAAAATGGACAAGTGTAAGGATTTGAATGACTTTTACAAGTTGACCCATGTGCACTGCCAAAAGTGCCTACAACGGGACATGTGAGCATCAGAACTGGACCATGAAGCAATGGAAGAAGGTGGCCTGGTCTGATAAATGACAATTTATTATAGATCATGTGAGTGGCTGGATGCATGTGTGTTGCTTATCTGAGGAAGAGATGGCACCAGGATGCACTATGGGAAGAAGGCAAGCCGGCAGAGGCAGTGTGATGCTTTGGGCAATGTTGTGCTGGGAAACCTTGCCATTCTTGTGGATGTTACTTTGACATGTAACACCTACCTAAACATTGTTGCTGGCCAAGTACACCCCTTTATGGAAACAGTATTCCCTCATGGTAGTGGCTTTTTTCAGCAGGATAATGTACCCTGCAAAAATATTTAAAGAATGGTTTGCGGAACACAACGGGTTTGAGGTGTTGACTTGGCCTCCAAATTCTCCAGATCTCAATCCAATGGAGCATCTGTAGGATGACCTTGCAACTTACAAGACTTAAAGGATCTGCTTTAGCAGGCCTAGATTGTTCACTTCTACTGCCTTCTCCAAACTCTTCACCCTTTTGTGTATAACCCAGTAAAAGGAAGTAATGCACTCTATAGTTCGTGAGTAGATAGTGATCTCACATTGCCATCACCAGTTTGTGATCTTTTGACCGTCTTGTGCAATTTCAGTCATAGTATAATTTCTATTATATGTTCTAACCTTTACAAGGTAACTAACAAGCTAAGCAAGCTGTTCCTCTGGATTAAGGTGGCTACACTAGAGATAACATTGTTTCACAATAAAATAGAGACCTCCAGAACTGGAGTGATCCACCAGCCTGGAAATTCCCTGTAATGTACAGTGGCTAAGTTTAGCACTTCTGCCTTGCATTTCGACTCACTTCGACTCTCAACCAATACAATGTCGGCATGGAGTTTGCATGTTCTCCCTGTGCTTGCGTTGGTTTCCTACAACACTCCAATGACTTTCTGGTAGGTTAATTGGCTCCTGTCTAAATCAGCCCTAGCATGTGTACATGTGAGATAGTAAGTAGGGATGTACAAATACCCCGATACTATGCATTTTCATGAGTACTTGTGAAAATGCCCCGATACTAAGCACCAATACCAGAGCTTTAAAGATTTTAATGTAAGCCAGCGCTATAAACAGGCTCTGGTTCACAGGAAGGCTGCCAAAGTCCCTAGCAAGTGGGAGACCTCGGCAGCCTTCTTGTGAACTGCGGCACCTGTTTACAGTACCAGCCGAACATCTCCTTGAAACCATGCTGCCCGCACCCGCCCGCGAGACCAACCGGACCCCTGGAGAGGCCCTGCACAGTCCTCCTACGAGCCCGCACAGCCCAGCATAGACCCCACACAGCCACCTGAGGCCCCACACAACCCACATGAGGCCCCACACAACCCACCTAAGACCCTGCACAGCCTCCTGAGACCCGCCACAGCCCCCATAAGACTCTGCATAGCCCTCCTGACATCATCCACTGGAGACATCAGGCCAGTACCCCAGAGCAGCACAGAGTATGTAGCTTCATATTATTCTGCATTGAGGTATAATGCATTGCTGGGATTTGTAGTCCTCTATAGCTGGTGCCATTCGGCATTGCTGTATAATGTATTGCTGGGATTTGTAGTTCTGTCTAGCTAATGGTAATATTCTGCATTGCTGTGACAGAACTACCAGGATCAAAGCTGGAACCAGGCCCTGGCACTTTACCACTGTCCTAAAATCATGAGTCTGTATTGTTTTAGAAAGGCTATCACATGACACATATAAAAGTATTAGTAATTGGTATTGCTGAGTACTTGAGGAAAAGTATTGTTACTCATACTCGGTGTGGAAAAAATGGTATTGGTGCATCCCTAATAAAAACCTTAGATTGTGAGCTCCTTGAGGGCAGGAACAGATGTGGATATACAGTATAAAAAGAGCTGTGCAAATTGTTGGCACAATATAAACACCTGTAATAAATAAATAATGAGTCACTGTTTTCCAATAAGCAGATTGACTCCAGGCACTGAACAGGTTGATCGCTTATTCAGAATGTGCCTGTACATTACCTGAATAGGGACTCATTCCCACCAGATGTCTTGTTGCTGCATTTTCAAGCACAGGCAGAATGCACGGACAGGAGAAAATGCATTGTTTTCAGTTCGGCCTATTCCCACCTGTGCAATGAAGATACATTCTGCAGGCTGCATTTTGGGTGTGCTGACCTGCAGTTTGCAATTCAAGTCAATTAAAAAAATGTAATGCAATGTACACCAATGAATGTCAATGTATTACTAAACCATTTTTTAATACAAAGCACCCATTCCAATCGCTTAGATCTTTCCAACACTAGCACACTGGTACAAGTGTTCAATAAGTGGAAAGTTTATTGGCTGGGCCGAAAGTTTTATCCAATCATGAGGATGGCATCCGCAGTTATAGATTTCAGGGAGTGCTTGTTTTATAGCTCTTTTACTGCTTGTAAAAAATATGTCATACTTGAAGGTACATAGTCTGGGCACGGGTGCACTTTAAGGGCCACACATGTAGCCTTCAACTCCTACAACGTCTGTCTTGTTACCATTTCAAGAAAAATGATTAGAGGTGTTAAATGTGTCAGCCAGCACTTCTAGATGGATGTCAAGCAATAGTGCTCATACGGTTTAGTAATGTCACATTAATGTCCTGTAATAAGCTAGAGGCATTTGTAAAGCCCACATTAATATCACAGCTACAGGGATATCTAATATGAATAAATTACAGGCTTTCACCTCATTCTCCACTAGCGCTCAAGAGAGAAGGGAGGAAAGAAAATTCATAAACACAATGATATGTTTAGCCATAGCCAGCTAGAGAAGCCAGAAAGGACCACATGAGGACCACAAGCCACCAGCTGTGCAGCACTAATCCAATCTGTACAGGTGGCTTTATAAGCATCACTCCTATGTATTGCTGTTGACAGAAAGAAAATGACTTCTTTGGGCCATTTAATAAGCACCAGTCTATTCATGTTATTTACTCGGTTTTGATTTTGACATTTTGTTACAGGTAATACCTACTCTAACAGGTTTTTCTGTGTTTCCATGTTATATATGCCTATAATTTACACAGCGTATATAGAATAAAAAGATACCACTATAGTGTGTAACAATTACACATCAACCGATATGGTTGATAACCTATAAGCATATATGTAAGAATACCACCTCTATGTGGAGCAATGAGGTGGAAAAAAATGAGGTGGAAAAAGAAGTTATACTCCAACCAATTGGCTGATTAATTATCAAATTTTGGTTGGAGTATAACTTCTTTTTCCACCTCATTGCTCCACATAGAGGTGGTATTCTTACCTATAATTTACACAGCTATGTCTGGCAGATCAAAAGACCTGTTTTTTCTCTACTGTAGTTAAAGCCCATCTCTAGAAAAAAACAAAAGTCAGGCTGTGTCTGCACTTCAAGGGTTACATGATCCTTTAGGTAGGCCTAGGGCAGCGATGGCGAACCTATGGCATGGGTGCCACAGCTGGCACGTTGGGCCATCTTTGCTGGCACGTTGGGACATCTTTGCTGGCACGTTGGGACATCTCTGCTAGCACGCGAGCCATAAGCTTGCCTCATTCCTGTTATCAGTTATCTGTCAAAGTGACCGATATTACCGATAATATACACTGTGCAAATTTCAGCTGGTTCATGAGGAACCGGCCGAAATTTAAATAGTGGGGACGCTGTCCGGCCGGCATCCCTTGATCAGCTGATCGAAGGAGCTGGTCAGAAGCCAGCAGCCATTGAGCTGCCCGCACTTTTCAGGTATTATGACAGTAGCTGCTGAATACAAAGAAAAAAAACCCAGCAAATAGCAAGGGAAGCATTAGCTCCTCAGATAGCAGCGGGAATCTGCAGATAGCAGAGGAGCTAATGCTACCCCTGCTATCTGCTGGGTTTTTTCTTTGTATTCAGCAGCCACTGTCAAAATACCTGAAAAGGGCAGGCAGCTCAATGGCATTAGCCAACAGCAGGCTGGCTATCGATTCCCCTGCTATCTGCTGGTTTTGGGGGTTTTTTTGTATTCTGAAACAAAAACAGGCAGCTAGGGGTTAACGAATGTCAGGCGATTGCCTGCTGTTTACATTCAGCTGCTGGTGCAGAATATAAACAGATATAGGTACCTGATATCGGTTATCGGCCTGAAATGTGGCCCATAATCGTTATCAGTAACGAAAAATCTATATCGGTCAACCCACAGTACAGTATAGGTTGCCACTTTGAGATACATAAGTTGGTTTAGTGATCCAGTTTGGCAAGTCATGCTCAAAAAGGTTTGCCAACACTGGCCTAGGGTATTGGGTAAGGCAGTCCTTCTTACCTAAACCCTACTCCCCTGGCAGTTGGCACTCACCTTGTCTCACCTGCGCCTCCGTTAGTGGATGGCCCCTTGGAGTCATGTATGGCAGTTTTGGAGCCTATATGGGCAGGAAACAAGGAAGGTACAGTCCTGTTCCCAGGTACCCTAGAGCTAAACAAGCAGCCCTACTACATGGGGAATTATCATGGAATTCAGCTTTAAATAACACATACATGTCTTGCCCATTGCCCAGCCTGTGACTGGACAGTGAGTGGAAAAGTAGCAGATTGATGATCTGTCACTCTTCTTTCTCCTCCTATCAGCTTATTTCTTGTTAGCACATGAGCATGACAGGATAACTATTCGGTTACTTGTGCTGCTTCTCTCTCCCAGTGTGAGCTCTGCTGTGCAGGGAATTATAAAAGGCTGATACTAGGTGAAATGTAGGTATTTACACTATGTGCATTAAAAATACATCTAATGATGACTGCAGAGCTGCATTCATTTGCATCTTTTATATCTGCCTGGAGTTTAGCTTTAAAGGAGAACTATGGGGTCAGTGTTTTTCCCCATAGTTCTCCTTGGGGTAACGGGAGGACAAAAACTAGCGTCCTCCCGTTACCCTAAGCTCAGTATACTGAGACGCCACAACTGGAGCGGATCCCGACTTAGATGACGGGATCCGCCCAGCTGCGTGAGTGACAGCAGGCTCTGCCTATCTAGAGGCAGAGCCAGCTGTACCCGCCCCCTCCCCCGTCCGTTCCGCCAGTCAGCGCTGGCAGATCGGAGCGGGGAGAGGGGAATCCAGCCCCTCCCCCTGTCACGGCAGAGAGCCGTGACAGGATCGAGAGGTGAGGGAACCCGGTATGTGTTCCCTCACCTCCCGATCTACTGAGCCGACCTGTGACAGTCTCATTGTCACAGGTCGGCTTAGAACTATGAGTTGAGTGGAAATCACTCATGTCATAGTTCTCCTTTAAGGCAACGTGCCATGGGCAAAATGCAGTAACATATAACAGCCAATGTTCATTTACATGTCAAGCTAGGGCCATGATTAGCTGATGTGTTTAAATCCAATTTGGTTGCATTGTGTGTGCAAACCTTCGCTGATCTGCTTGGCTAGTAAACACAGACTATGGTATCTGTATATAACACATTCACATACTGTGCTCTGAAGGTTCTCTCGAACTCTGGAGGTCCACTGACAGCAGGAGGTATCACCTTGTGTTTTATTCTACATTTTCCCACCAGACTGGCAAAATGCGCTGCAATAAAACAATACTGAAATGATCATATAGAACACATACATAAAGTACAGCCGACACCTAACAATTCAGTTGATGTTATTATTCACATTATAAAACCAAAAAATATATTTTACAGCATTTAGTAAATTGTTACTTTTTTAAGGTTATTCTATCTTTTGAAATGTGATACATTTCCATGCTTATTGTTAAATGACTCCAAAGGTTTTCTACTTTGAACCCGGCGATCTGTGGATGTGTGTACATCTAATAATAGCCTGATACTCATCAGGTTACACAGCATGCTTAGTAATATCTGGTCATGGATGCTGTGTCCTAATCACCAATAAATATGTTTTATAAAGTAAATGACTTTTTCATGTCTTATGATTTATTTAGCTTTCTCTCAAGATAACATTTGAATTGTCTTTTTTCATACAACATTTGTAAAAACATTAACAAAAGGGGAAGCATCTTCAGGCTAAACCGGTTCTTTTAAAGTAAACCTGTGAAAACAGGACAATACAAACTGAGGACATAAAAAAAAACTTAAAGATCAACTCTAGACACATTTTTTAAAGCTTTATTTAGTGTGTTGAAGGTTGACAACTATACTGTATATTGCTGTCTTTGTCCCCATTTGGGATATTTCCCTTTACTTCATCTTTGATGAGTGTCTGGCAGAACAGAAAGTGATAGAAAATCTTCCTACTTTCTGTCTACTTAAAAGAAAACAGACAGAACAGGAAGTGAAGGTAAATCTCCTCACTTTCTGCCTACTTGAAAGGTATCAAACAGAACAAACGTTAAGGGAAATCTCCCCACTTCCTGCCTACGTTAAAGGTATTCGACAGAACAGTAGGTGAAGGAAAATCTCCCCACTTCCTGTCTACTTGAAAGATATGAAGGGAAATCTCCCCACTTCCTGCCTACTTGAAAGGTATTGGACAGAACGAAAAGTGAAGGGAAATCTCACTTCTTGCCTACTTGAAAAAAAGGACATCTCACCACTTCCTGCCTACTTGAAAAATATAAAGGTATATCTCCCCACTTCCTGCCTACTTGACAGATATCAGACAAAACAGAAAGTAAAAGGAAATTTCCCCACTTCCTGGCTACTTGAAATATATTGGTCAGAACAGGAACTGAACAGGGTAATCTACCCACTTGCTGTCTATGTTGTATGTGTCAGACAAAGCCGGGAGTTAGGAAAAATCTCAAACTATAATTATAAAAACACAAGAAGGTTGAAACTCTGTCAGGATTTACTATCTGTGTCCCTATGAGGGAGATTTCCATTCACTACCTGTCTATGTCTAGGTGACATATAGCTTGAACTGGAGTTAGGCTTCAAGCAGAGGTTACCTGTAGTGAACACTGCATGTGAAAATGATCAGGTACATGCGCAGCTGAATTATAACCAAATCGCAACTTTCCCTACAAATGTCAAAATGACCGTTTGCCTCCCCATCCCTATTGGTCAGATAAGCTGTCCATCATGTTAAAACACCTATATGGAGGTTTGGGCGTTGTGATAGGGCAGTAGCAAGCTAGATTTATACAGGAAAAGTCAAGATATTAATCTATATTCCAAGTATGCAATCCCTCATGGTTCACTCTTTGATTCGCAATAAGGCTTTCACTGAAGGCAAGCCTTCTTGTTTCATTTTACGTTGGGGTTTTGTATCTTTTTAAAGGTTGAGAAACACTGTGCTAAGTATTGTCAGAAACAGCAGCACTGGGTTAAATAATGTTACTAAAAATAAGGATCTGTTGAAGTAACTACACAGAACATTAATATTTTCCTTTGGAAATTCCTTTTCCAAAGTAAGGATTTGCAACATGTTCCTATCGTTCCCCAAGCACTCCTCAAGGCCTGGGGTAGGAAAAGCTTATTGAGCCATATGACCCCACAAACCTAGACTGCCAGCCAAATACTTGTTTAAGTTTGTGTCATGTTACCCTAAAATAAATACAACCTGCTGTGCTGAGTCACACTGGTGGGGCCGATCTCATTCACCCTGATCTAAATACAAAGATGGACCTGTTGTTTTTCTCCCAAGCACTGATGCCAAGATGTCTGTATTCAGTGTCTGTGTACGCTTACCCTGAAGTCATTATGGCACCCAGCAATACATAACCTCGGGAGATATCTGTCAGAGAATGGCTGGATTGTTCAGGTTAGACAAGTTTTAATGTTCTCTTCCCATGGCTGTTAAGCTTTTGATGCAGAGATCCGCATGATGCAGAACGCATTGCGTGGTATGCACTGAAAGAAGTACTGCGCGCAGTTTTCTTTGTCAGCACATCAGGCCGCGACATGGTACAACTGCATCGCACCACACTGTGCCCTAGGAAACTTAATGAAATGTCACTTGTGACATTTCAATAAAGTTCTAACAAAAAAAGGTAAACAGTGCGATGCGCCTGACAACGCAACCCAGCGGCAGTGCATTGTAGCTGGGGTGAATTGGCCCTTAATGTTTTTAATATATCAACATATAAACAGTTTTGTGTCAGAGAAATCTGCTAAAATATTGGTCAGGTAACATTTTTGTAACAGATCTGAACACAGGTGTATTGTTTTCTATGGGACAGGGCACACATTGCCTAAAGATCAGTAAAGTGCACTGTGTTCAGTACCACAAAAACAAAATAGAAAAATCTGCATCTGAGGTCCTGCGTATGGACAACATTTACATGCGTAAACCACAAATGCACCCTATTGGGGAAGTCTGCCTCCTACAAACAAAGCACGCTGGAGCCCCCTAGCATCCTTAATTGCTACTATGCAGGAAGATTGAGCCACCTATGACCCTTTGCTGCTTGTATACAGGCACATGTCCTTTATCACTAGTAAGGGGGTGGCTTGAGCCACCTAGTGTCATTCATAGCTAGAAAGCAGGTGGCTTGAGCCATTTGGCGTTCTTTGCTAGTATGCAGGTGACTTAAGCCATCTAGCACCCTTCATACCTAGTAATTGGGTGCCGTGAGCCACCTAATAATCTTCATCGCTAGTAAGCAAGTGACTTGAGCCACTTGGCGTCCTTCTTTGCAGGTATGCAGGTGGCTTGAGCCACCTATGACCCTATATCGCTAGTAATCGGGTGCCTTGAGCCACCTAACATACTCCATTGCTAGAAAGCAGGTGGCTTGAGCCACCTAGCACCCTTCATTGCTAATATGCAGGTAGTTTAAGCCACCTAGGATCTTTCATTGCTAATATATGGGCAGCTTGAGCCGCCTACCACCCTAGCAACCATTAGGGCATCTTAGCTCTATATGCATGTAAACATTACACTAATGTTACATACATAAAGCATACAAAACCCTTTTTATGCCAGATTTTGCTGTTAGCAAAATCCGGTGTACTAGCTGCCGTTTTTTCATACAGCCACGTGCATAAATCTTCACTGACATCCCTGTCAAAGCAACCTGTGACCACTTTAAGCCCCCATTCCCATCATGGCATTGCGGTGACGCGTGTTCCTGTACGTGCATTTGTTTCCCGTGTCACAAATTTTGCGACATGCTTCCATTTCCCACACGTGCACATTCTCACGTGTAAACGCATGTGAAAACACTGCTTTTGGGGTGCCGTTCACTAGTAATGGCAGTGCAAGTGTGTTCCTCGTTTGGTGTGCGTTTCGTGAACACGCATCAAAGCGCACACAAAGATTGGAATCACTATGTATCCATTTCTAATTAAAATCCCCTGGACTTAAAGCCACAATGAACTAAGGCATGGTTCACACTGAGCGGTTTGTAGCGCTTTTTCTGCCCTAAAAAAACGCTAAAAAAATATACCCCCCAAAAAAATCCTATTCATTTCTATGGCCCTGTTCACATCTGAGCGTTTTGTCACAATAAGCAAAATGCCTTTTTTGCTGCATACTACAGCTCGTTTTGGCCCCATAGACTCAATATGAAACTCTTGAAAATTTGTGTTTGCTGTGTCTTTGCGCGTTCCTATACGCGCGTTTTATGCGTGTTTGCTCATTAACATCAATGAGCTACAATCTGCTCACAAAAACTCGCAATTTGATTTATACATTAAAAAATGCATGAAAACGTGCATCAAAAACGCACATAGAAACGTGCAAAAACGCTGTCGCCTAGGTGTAAACCCAGCCTAAGGGTAAGTTCTCACCTTAACTACATGTGCCTGCGCAGCTGCACTGCAATATGGTTTAACGCGTTTTACCGCGCTTTTAACACAGGTTTTTTTTAAGCTTCAAATTGGTTTTAAGGTGCAGTCCAATGCGTTCCAGTACATTTGAATGTGTTTTTAATGTGTTTTGATGCGTTGCGTTGCGATCAGGTGCAGCTAAAATAGGGCAAACAGTATTTTTCTGACTGCATCGGAACGGACTGCACTGATGTGAATAGAGCACCAGAAATCCCATAGGAAAGCATTGTGATGGATTTGGATGCAGCTGCCAAACTGAACGGACTACATTACAACTTCATCTGGTGTGAACTAGCCCTTATTGGGAAGAGATGAGATGAGAAAAGTATGATGAGAAAAGTACCTGTACCTGATGGCCTAGTGTTGAAGGGTCTGCTAGGTACCTATTCTCAAGATAGGATATGGCATAATCTTGCTCAGTTTATAAATAATACACATATGTAATGTGTTCATGATTAGTATGACTTTTCTTCCACACATGGGTGAACCCGAGATCTGGGTGTGTCTGTGGAAAGTGTTACTGCTCTGGGATCCCAATAGCAAAACCTCACCCCTTGTTCAGTCTCTAAGGAATGAGATCATTTCATATCCATGTTTTCTGTTCTGGGTATGTAGTTCCTATGATTATAAGAGATTGTGGGAGTAAGTGAAAGAGATGTTCTCTGCACAACAAAGTATTTTAAAGCTGAACTGAGGGGAAAAGGAAAATCCTCCATTGCAGTGGGCCTTCCCCTGCACTACCAGCACAGCCCCAATGCACCTGGTGTGAATGGGCCCTAAATCTACCTTCAAGTTCCCCATCAGTACATACACAGAAGCAGAGGTGAAGGAA